CAAGAGACCCTAGAAACTGGAGACAAGAAAATCAAGAGACCATAAAAAGTCTATGTCATCTCCAAGAGGTGCAGAGCTATAATGGGCTAAACAAATATGAGAAAAAAAGAAAGTTTGATCTGCAGCTGCAGAATCCTGGCTTTACTGGGGATGGGACAAGCTAGTTCCTGTACTCTTTATTTCTTTAATGACTGATGCGTTCTAGTGCAAAACAACTGTAATAAAATACTAATTTCATTGTACAAACACAAGTGTCTAGAATCACTTAACATTAGCAAGGGCATCTCAGTCTTCTACACAGTGCTCACAGATATGAGAGATATATGATAGTTTTGCACCCTGCTAGAGAGGTAGTCAGAGGCTAGGCAGTATATCATGAAGATCCTAAAAAGCTGTTGTGTGCAATGAATACAAATCTGGCTGACAGATGTGGAAACGAGTCTTATGAAGAGTGGCTGGGGGAACTGGGGTTGTTTAGTCTGGAGAAGAGGAGGCTCAGGAAGACCTCATCACTCTCTACAAGTACCTGAAAGGAGGTGGCAGTGAGGTGGGGACTGGTCTCTGATGCCGTGTCTCAAACAAAAAAATGAGTGGAAATGGCCTTACCTTGCACCAGGTGAGGCTTGAGTTAGATATTAGAAACAAAAATTTCACTGTAAGAGTGGTTAGGCATTGAAATAAATTCCCAGGGACATGGGGGAGTCTTTGGAAGTGTTCAAGAGGCACCTGGGGACATGGTTTGCGTGTGATTGTGGTGGTGCTGGGTTGACAGTTGAACTAGGTGATTTTGCAGGTCTCTTCTAGCCTTGATGATGCTATGACTATGTGATGCAGTACCTAAAACTCTGATTTCTTAGGTGGCCAGGTGAATTATCTGAGAACATCTCAAATGCATTTATCTGTGTCTTCAACTGAACTGAGTCAAACATTTCCTTTGAGTATCATAGAGGCTTTTGTACACAGCTTATATATCTACTGAAAATGCAGGTGGCAACCTCAAAGTTGGTACCAACCTACGAGGGAACTGGGGTGAGACAAAATAACCTTCAGAGGTTCCTTCCAACCTTAACCACTCTGTGCATCCAACTGCTCAATGTCACTATTTGTTTGCTCTCACTCCAAAGAATAAGATGTAGACAATTCTGAGGAGCATGGTAAGAACAAGTGACATTTTCAAACTATGTAAATAGAATAGGTATGTGAATGAATCAGGTTTTTTACTGCAAGCCACTCTATAACAAATATCTATAAGCTCCATGGTCAAGTCAGGATGCCTTTTTACATGTAATGTAGACTATACATGATCAGGAAGCATAAGAGGTAATGAATTATACTTTTTCTTTATATGGATGTCCATGATTTTGAACGATTTAAATGAGAAATAAAGGCATTTGGATTTTCTATTAGATGTTATAAACAACAGATATGTATACTAAGCTTTACCTTTTTTCCTTGCTTTTGCCAGTCAAAACAGCATTTCTTAAAGTCTTCTCTAAGATTGTTGAGACCATGTTACTTCCTTTTCCTTACATTTTAGTTAAACTCTTACAGCCTGTAAGAATGGGATTCACAGCATCTGCTGGAATGAGGCTTGTCCAAATGTCTGTGGTCTTTTGGCTGGTTTCTTTTTTGTATCCACTCCTAATTCCAAAGCTGTTTTGAATTCTCTTGCAACCAGCATTGTTGGTTGCAGCAATGAAGCTGCAATCACTGGAGCTGCTCCAGTGATTTACTGGTACAGACAATTGTAGAGATTTAGTGGTATAAAAAGTCAGAGGATGCTAATCTGGAAGGGATGCAAAGGTAAGGAATATAAAGTATGTTCAGACATCACTAAAATCCCCACTCACCACATTAAACAAACCCCAAAAATGTCATTCATTTTCCTCCTCTTTTCATCCCACTGGGAGCAAGATGAGTACAAATTAGACACTTTTTCCTATTAATAGTCCTCCCATATTAGGAACTTTTTTTACAGCACAGGTCCATAAATGAATACAGCCTTCTTAGTCATTGTGGTGGTGGGAAACAGTTTTCCCCCTGAAGTTATAAAAAGGTAAAACCCCAGGGGGTGGTGACCCTTGAAGTTTTGAGGTTTTACCCAATGAGCGCTTCTGCAAAATATAAACATATCACAAGCAGACCGGAAGAGAAGGTAGTTGTAATTGTTGTAGGAGAGGTAGTCATGTTGTAAAGCCACGAGGAGAAAGAACAGGAGCCCCACTGGGGGTTCTGGCCCCCCAGCCCCGGCTGGGGGGGCTGCAGGGACTTGGAACAGCGGAAGGCTGGGCTAAGTACCTGTGGCTGAAAGCTAAAGAAGTTTTCTCCACCGTGAGTGAACAGAGACAGAGCAGCAGCAGAAGCAGCATCCAGAGATTGTGGCTAAGAGCCAAGAGATGACTGAAGAAGCAGCAACAAATATGCAGCCAAGGAAGACACAGAGTTGTCTGAAAGAGCCAAGAGAGAACCAGAAGCAGAGAGAGCACAACTAAGTTCTACAGAGACAGAGTTGGAGTGAGAAACTGAACCAAAAACCCCAAACTCCTTTTGTGACCTTTCCTAAGTGGAAAGGATGGACTCCTACTGAATGGAAGTCCTAAAACTGCAGCAGCACTGCAGAAAAGAGCTGGAAAGCTCAGGCGTCCTGGAAAGCAGGACCAGGACGATTAAAGGAATGCAGAGGGGGTGACCTTGCCCCCCCACCTCGCCGCTGCTGCCAAGTTTAGCTAGCAGCCTGAGACAGAGCACAGGAGCTCTGGTAGAACTCTTGAGGCAAAGGCTTTCAACTGAAAGCTGCCCGAGATGTTCTGACTCAGGAGTGAATCCCCTGAGGAAGGGACCTTCATGGGGGTCTTACACCCCATGATATGACCATGGTGACATGAGTTTTGTCCCTGCTACGCAGTCCATGGAAGAGAAGACCCTCGCTTGAAGACAACAGGCTGAGGGGCTTGGATACCCCTCGTGTGTATTGGCAGAGATCCAGCTACAACAATCCAGTTACAGATGCTACATGAGAAGAAGAGAACCTGCTGCCTTAGAGATATTGCTGCTCTGAGAGTGGAAAAGGATCTTCTCCTTCTTCCCTCCTGGACTTTTATTTGGAGGGGAGAAGAGATTTGATCCATTGTAAATACTTATGTCATGGTAGAGATTGTATATAATGTATTGTAGTATTTATTTGTACAGTCATTGTAATATATTCCCTTTCCCCCATTCTGAGTCTCGTGTAGTGTCTGGAAAACCCATCTCACATTTGGGTTGAGATGTGGGAGGGGGCTTGGACTAGGGAATCAAATTTTGGAGCTCTCAAACCATGACAGTCATCATGTCTAGTCACTACCTTTCAGAAGCATCACATAACATAAAGTGATTAAATGCTAATGCCAGAAGGCAATGTGAACACAGTGTGCAATGCTGATGCACAGACTACAGGGTCGGTTGTGTTTAACTGTTTATTAATTAAGATACAACAACACATTCAACTGCCTTACTGATAGAACGATCTTACTGTACTAGATAAACTATCTATGTTGTAAAGATATAAATCACAATAGACAAAACAATGGATAGATGTTCTGGTTTTGGCTAGGGTAGAGTTAATTTTCTTCATAGTAGCTGTCATGGGCTATGTTTCGGATTTTTCCTGAAAAATTGATAGCACAGGGATGTTTTAACTATCACTGAGCAGTGCTTACACAGTGACAAGGCCTTTTCTGTTCCTCACTCCAACCCACCAACCCACCAGTGATGAGGCTGGGGGTGCACAAGGATTTAGGAGGGGACACAATTGGGGCAGCGGACCCCAGCTGTCCACAGGGATATGGTTTGGGACATATCAAACCTGGGGGGTGCAGAAAGAAGTGGGAGATGTTCTGAGTGATGACTTTGGTCTTCCCAAGACACCATCACATGTCTTGGAGCCCTGCTTTCCTGGGGATGGATGAACACACGCGTGATGATGGAAAGTGGTGAATGAATTCCTTGTTTCACTTTGCTTATGTGTGCAGCTTTTGCTTTACCTGTTAAACTGTCTGCATCTCAACCCAGAGTTTTCTTACTTCTACTCTTACTCTTCAGATCTCTACCCATCCCACCGGGGAGTGAGTAAGTGAGAGGCTATGTGTGGCTTGGTTGCCCGCTGGTGTTAAACCATGACAGCAAACTAGCCCCTGAAATTACTATAGTATTTGCCATATGGTGGAGAGGTTTTCCAGCCTACTGGCAATCAATTTATGAAGTGCAGGTAAAATGGAGAGGTTCTATACTCTCAGTTTGAGAGCAGAATAAATTTAAGAACAAAACAGCCAGGCTGTTATTCCACTATATGATTGAACATATAGTGGAATAATAGTTAAAACTGAAGAACCAGACTCAATACAGTTTCTAGAGTTCAAGCTTCTTTGAGTTTTAAACAAACAAATTTTCCTTAGATCTCTGAAAATTAACTCACTAGCAGCTCAGGGCTTCCAGTGATCTCTCCAGCAGACAGAAAACCTTTCTCTCTATTATTCTTCTCTTCCTTGGTCTCTGTAGTCCTTCTAAATCAAAGAAGGTCTTACTTTACTGGGAATCATTTTGGCCTCTGTGCAGTGTCTTCTTGTATGTGCTCTCCCACTCACACTGGGTAGATTTCACTAGGAGTAACTGCACTGGAACATGTAACTTCACCGAAATCCTGTTAGAGGAAAGCTTGTTTAGAAAGACAACTAGGATCTATCTATAAAATTTGAAAACCTAGGCTTGAGAAATGAAGCCTAGATTTTTGCTGTCATCATCCAGTCGTGGATTGCTTCAGACACTATATTTATCTGTAGCAGTCACACCATAGGAGCAGAGGCTTTTCGCAGCTTATGCAGAGTCAAGAACACAGTGGGAGAGAGTTTATTCACTGAAAAGTTGATTTATTGGTGAGATTGGTGTGTTTTCCTCATGCATCAGGGTAACACTTGGCAGCAGATGTGGAGTAAGAAACACTTTTTTCCTGAGGGCATGTCCCTTTTGCTCTCTGGTGTGTTGTGCTTTCCCTTCTGATCACTGGTAGAGGTCATACTAACAAGTTATTTGCTATTGTGGACTCCTATAAAAAAAGCAAGATGTACAATTTTTTTTGTGATACATAGCTATGATTCTGGCTTTTGGTGTTTGACTTCAGGCCTTTAAGGTGCTCTGAAGTGCTGGGAAGTTTTGTAGCCTGTGAGACACAGGATCATGTGTATTGTTTGTCGAGAAGTAAGTATCTCTTCCATCATTGCTTCCAGTCACAGGATATGGAGCTTATTAAACAATATCAATTCTTCCAGTTTCATATACTAGTTGCTAGCAATCACCTTATACATAGCTATGCTCTGCAGTCCAACTTGAAATGGGAACTTTGATGGTCTTGATCTTACAGTAAAGTTTTAACATCCATGATCCTTCACATTCTTTAGCACATGCCTGGAAGGCAAATCCTGCTTCCATTAAGAGCTGGAGCATTCTTCCAACAGCAGCACACTTCTGCATGAAAAATCAAGGACAAATCCATTAATCAAAGCCTACAAGAGAAACAGATTGTACCTGGATAAGTGCAGCCTCCCTGTGCTATTAATATTCTAAATTAGTCATTTCTCCCATATCAAAGGGGGAGGTATAACTCTTACCCGAAATAACCTTCACATTGGTATTAATCTTACCTAAAGCTGAACTGTGATTAATTCCCACTGTTATAACCAGCCACAAGTGACCAAGCAAAACCATTCACTATAATGTGACCAGCTCCTTCTTTGGGACTGATACTATCTGATGGTATATTGTGGACTCACCTTCTAAGTCAGTCACTCCACCTAGATAAGACTGCTTCTACCTCTGCTATGAATAGAGAGAAACAGTCTCCCTCCAATAGGAGGCAGAGTAAAATTAAAAAGAGATTTTAGGTCAAAGAAATTGCAAGAATTCCCAAAGAAAATGTTTGAATGTGACTTTCTTGTATTGTAGTATATTTCAGAAGACCATAAAGTATTGTGTCACTTTAAGAACAGATCGCATACCATTTCAGAGGCTGTGTATCATGACCTTACATGCTCATTGCCTGAATATAGTATATTAGTCACTGTAAACTCAGCAGTTTTGCTGATGGAGTTTTTTTTCTTTATTACAAAGCTTTTAGTTTAATCACATTACTTTGTTCTACGGGTTAAAACACTACCCTGGCAGTCACCTCTGATGCATGTGCTAGGGGCACACACCCTTAGAAATTTGATCTGTGCAATACTCACTCATTGCAGAGAAAATTTTGGAAAGGTTTGAAAACTTCAGAAGCTGCTAATGAAAGATCTTATTTGATCCAATGTCCTATGTCTAGACATAAAAGCATGGTATATAATTTGATAATGTAATATCTGACTTACCTGTAATAACTATCAAAGGCATTGGAAGGGGGAGGACTGATCTCAGGAAAATGGGCTGGCCAGGCAGCAGAAACTCTGTGGAACAGATTGTAATGCTATCACAGTGAGGTATGTAAATTTTGTAGCTGGGCAAACCTGAGCTGCTTCTTCTGGTCATTAAAGACTTGGTTATCAGGTGCCACTAGCAGACTTCTGGGTACTCATTACTCTAACTTTCATGGGATCATTCTGTGCAGAAGTTTATATGCAATTAGAGTCTTCGAGAACAGGTACAGTTTGAACCATTAGTTAGTACCCATACTGTTGTAGAAAGCTCAATCCTGGCCCAGTCCCAGGCTGTGTAAATGGATGATTGACTCCTTCCTTAAAAGCCGGCTCCTGTTGGCTCCTTTTTAGCTCCCTTACCCCTATTTGCAGAGGAGATAAGTGAAGGATATACCCGTTCTATCAGCACTGATGACTGACACCCTGTTCATACCTGGAACGTGCAACACTGCCTCTTTCATATTCAAGGTTTGGTGCCAATGCTGCTCAGTAAATTGGCTGGCCTTTTAGCTAAGGAGATAGCTGCGAAGGTGAATTTTTGTGAAGTCACTAGAATGCAGTTGACCTCCTAAAAAAAAGCAAATACCCTGAAAGCCAATCTCAACTGCAGAATGAGATTGGTGAGTAGGATCATCTGAGACTACAAGGTCTTGTGTTCACTTGGATTTCATAATATAAACATCATCCCAAATAATCTTCATTGCCAAAACTTAGTTAATCTGATGCTCTAAACAATTATATATCCCACTGGATTTGGGTTTCATCTCATTAATATACATATAAAACTACAAATGTAATATATTGAAATATGAAAAATGAAGTGGGTCTTTCTTCAAATAGAAGCATCAGCATTACATTTCAGAATTTCTAGCAAATAGCAATTTCTCTAGAAACATAAGTAATCTCTATCATATCCTATACCAGGATGGCTTCTCTAATTCTTCTTAGCTTCTTATGGGATGGTGTTGCTGAATGTCTCCCTTAGTGTCACTTTCTAGGCAGAACTCACCAGGTGCGTTTATTTTGGATAGCAGCTAGAGTTAATGGGTCATTAGAAGAGCTTCTCCTACTCATATGAGGTCTTCAGGGTCCCATCTCAATCCTACCAAATATTAGAATTTGAGAAATTAATTACTAGCAACATACTTGAAGGAAATCACTGGGTTTCACATGAAACAACATTAAATTAGCTAAAGAAGGAGTTATATAATGTAAAAATTTATCAGGTTAAGTGCACACATTCTGAATAAAGAGAATGTCATTATTAGACTATACTTCACAGAGAGATACAGTAAACAACAGGTGGTGGACAAATACTACAATGTTGTGCATATAGTGTACCAGTAAGTAATGAGCTTTAGCTGTAGTAAAGTCTTTAGTGCTGTCACCCATAACCACTGGGACTTGTTGCTTGCGCTGAAATATAAAGGTCAGAATATACTTTTAAAATATTCCACTAAAAATGGAATCTGTTCATTTGACATGGTTTAAAAAAACATTATCACTGCCAGTGGCTCCTAATCATTAGGGTCAATTTTTATTAATGGTTTATTTGACAAATTTTTGGATTGATTTCCTATTGGTTGAGATATTTTAAGTGGGTTATAGTCAATTGAAAACCTGATGTGTCAGTTATGTGATTTTAAAATAAGTTGTCATTAACCTCCCATTATTTGGGAGACTATCTCGAGGTCAGTCTGGTGCACTTAAGAGAGGAAAAGACCGTCCATCTGACTAGAGGACTACTCTAGTGAAAGGGACGGGTAACGGAGAGAAGACAAAAAGCAGAGAACTAGAAGCAGAAGCAGATCTGCGAAATGGTTTGGCTGGAACAGGTACCCAGATCCTGTGTCTGCAGTAATGCCCACCACTTATGTGTTAATAATAACACTACATCCCACAAACCCCTGTTGTCATACCACTTCCTAGCACATAGTTTCATTGCTGACAACAAATTAGTCACTGAACTGTGTCTATCTAGGGAAATTTGTAAGTGGGTCAATACCTGAGGTGTTTTCATAATCTCTGCATCTTGTCTCAGATAACCTCTGCTGGATCCCTCTTATCACAGACTTGTATGATCAGATGGGTAGAGAAGACTATTAAACCACTTTTGCTTTTTACCTCTGCAGACTGCTGCAAACAATCATCACAGGGGCTCCAAAGGGCAGGCGGTTGTTCTGACAACACAGTGCAAAACAACCCCTGAATAGGTAGTGACATACCAAGAATTCTGAGGTATGTTTCCAGAAATCAGAGTTTCTGACATTAGAAGCTTTGCACTGCAACCTACCTCAAGAGAGATTAAGAATCTTTAATGTTCTATTTATACTGCTTTATCTTGGAGTCAAAGTGAGAGCCAGTATGGGCACTGGGAGCCATGAAAACCTCATTTCTAATAATCCCAGCTTTCTGCGAAGTGCTATCCACACTTCAAATAACCCACCTACAAAATGGAGATAATAGTAAATACCACCCTGTCTTATTTGAACACACGAGTTGTGAGGCTTTGCTCCATAATATTCCAAACACGTGACCTGTGAGGCTTTGCTCCACAATATTCCAAACATATAAATTTATATAGCTACATACAATAAAAATAAGACATTTAATACCGAATAGAGAAAAGGCATTAAATTACCTCCTCCATTTTTTAATGTTTTTGTTGAAGTTGTGTTTCCCCATTTTGGAAATTGCTTAAAAATTGTGGAAGCACTCAGGTTTAACTTAAAGAACTTATTGCAGAGATGTGCATTGTTACCAGTTACCTTGTTAAACACAGTAAGTTTGGGGGTTTTTCTTATTTAACTCATACATGTACATGATATGTATGGACACTATGATCTTCTGCTTTACCATGTGGTAGTTAAAACCAGTTAATTCAGTTCTAGTATAATCAAGACTGAAGTCCATATAGTTTTCACTGTCTTTTGTGGGCCAAGAAAGTCTCTCAATTTGCTTTGAGTCTTATACTGGGAGTCTTGCAAGGTTTTTTTCTTTTATTGTTTTTAAAACAACCTATATCCTAGGGAAAAGTAACCTCATTTAGAAAAAAGTATTGATGAAACCTAGAAACAGGACTCAAGTGGATCCTGGTGGCTCAAAGATGGAAGGTAAAGAAAATATGCTTTCTATAATTTTTCTTTAGAGAATTCCGTGAGGTGACAAGAATACTAACTGCTGGAAACTTTCTCTTGTTCTGTGAGCCTTCCTTGTCATGTTGTTCAGACAAATCTGCCATATGACATCCGAAATCATAAGAGGAACTCTGCGTCTATAAGGGGAAGACACACGCATTAAGAGATTGATATCTTTGATATTTGGAACTTCATAGGTCCCAGCTGGAGTCTCCTTCCTATGACTACATCTAACCTAGTGGACCTGAAAGCATGCCCAGGTTTCTTGACTCAAGTATGTACCTTCTCACACTTGGACCACAATGAAATGAGGGACAGGAATCCCTCTGAACTTCAGTTTCTTCTAAAGAAACCTGGTTATTCAAGTCAGAAGGAAACCATACTATGTTTCCAACAAATTCCTTAGCTGACCCTGGCATACATTACTCACTGCACCCTTATATTCCTTAGAATATTTGAATATTAATCAGAATTAATTTTTTTTTACACTGATATTTCAAACAGATGCCAGGTATTTTGTCCTCCTTTAGAGCAGGAGATCTGTCATTAATTGAGCTGGCAATGCTATTTCCCATAACCCCTCGCTCTTTATCAGAAATCTTAGGAAATTTACTGTTGTTTTAAAAAAATAGGTGGACACTGGAAAATGTATACCACTGGCCTATTACAAGCAGATATCAAAACCAAACTTAAGGACTGAAAATCTTTTTAGCAAAAAGAAAGAGCAAACAGTTGCCATAATGACAGTCTTCATAACCATTCCTTTTGTGATACTCACATTCTGAGGCCTGAATAACTTTTCTGCCCTGTAATTTTGAGAAGATTAAAACTTCAGCATTGCAGCTGTTTTCTTCGAGAGAATCTATGGCTGCAGAATTGTAATACATATGGTAATGCTACATTAGTGTAGTATTATTCACATCACTATAGTTAAACTTGAGTCAGCACTTCCTTTTAGACTCTCTGAAGTTAGGGTTTGTCCATGGACATTTTCTTTTAACTGACTTGGAACATGATGCCTCAGCCTTACAACTATATTTGCCTATTTTTTTCCCAAAGCTATTTGAAAAAGCTCTGATCAAGAGCTCTTAATCTTATGGCTAAATGTTACTATCTCCCATTTCAAAATATGTGACATGTTTAATTGTCACCGAAACCCTTTCATGGTTTGTGTCTTTAAAGATAATATGTTACTGGAATTAAAATCATAATGCAAGGGGTTTTTAACTTAAGTTACTCTCCACTGGCTTAGCTGCCTCTACAAATGCATCTTGTTAACACTTTAAGCGCTTGTGGAAGGTGAGGTGCTCTGCTTTTTCTCTTAATCAGCTTTATCCTATTTAGCAGCCTTCAAATATAAACCCCTTTTAACAGGGAAAATATAAACATCAAGTTATTGATTTTTTTAATTCAAATTTATCCATTGGAGTATATCATACTTGTCATGGTTTAACACCAGCCAGCAACCAAGTACCATGCAGCCGCTCACTCCCCCACCAGCAGGACTGGGGAGAAGAGTGAAAGCCAGAAAACTCAGGGGTTGAGACAAAGAGAGTTTACTAGGGAAAACAAAAGCCATGCACACAAGCAAAGCAAACCCAAGGAATTAATTCACTGCTTCCCATGAACAGGGAGGTGTTCAGTCATTGCTAGGAGAGCAGAGCCATGTCACGCGTAATTGTTACTTGGGAAGACAGACACTCTAAACTTCCCCCCTTCCTCCTTCTTTCCCCCATTTTACGTGCTAAGCTTGATGTCATATGGTCTGGGATATCCGTTAGGTCAGTTTGGGTCACCTGTCCCAGCTGTTTCTCCTCCTAACCTCTCATGCACCCTCAACTTCCTTGCCAGTGTGGCACTATGAAAAACAGAAAAGGCCTTGGCTTTGTGTAAGCCCTGCTCAGCAATAACAAAAGCATCCTGTATTATCAGCCATGTGTTCAGCACAAATCCAAAATATAGCCCCCACACTAGACACTGTAGAAAATTAATTCTCTCCCAGCCAAACCCAGCACAATAATTTGTGACATTTCTGAAACTCCAGAAAGTGGAAACATAAGATAGAGTTTATAAAAATTCTCCTCTTCAGACACTTCTGGCTTCATTTAGTAAAATCGTTATTTATTTAAATAGCACTCCCCTATTTCATACCTTTCTACTTTTGAACTCACTGACTTATTTTTCTGTCATAATAAGCTGTTGATACTTTCCTAAGCATCACTTTAGGGATCAGGAAGGGGAGCCAGAGAAAGATGAGCAGTGCATGACTGAATGGATAAAACATGCCCTTCACAAGCTGTGGTCTATTTGGGCCCCACAGTCATTGTCTATGCTTCCTCCTCAGTAGCAAATTTCTGTTCTTCTTTATTTGTCACTCCTAGCTGGAACAACTTTAATAGTGTGGTTTAGAAATGCATTATATTCCTATGACCCCAAAGTATGCCCAATGTTGGTGCTACTAGAAAAGTACCTTGCAGATGACATGTAAAACCTTTTCTATAATGGTTTTCTTGCAAAATGTGATTAATTTGTCCTGTTTCTTTGATTTGGGTAATTTTAATCTAGCTAGAAAAAAAACAATACTGTAGAACAAGCACATGTCCTGATCTTTTTTCTGTAATGTCTAGACTGTAATCCTGCTTCTTTTCCTTCAAATTGCAGAATGGTATGGGCTTTTCTAAACACTTAAGATGGCAAGTATGAAGACTCATATGGCCAGTTTACAGTAATTAACTCCTAGTTTATATTAATAGATGTCATCCTTTGGACAATTTGCATCGTCCAGATGACGAGCCTCCTCTGCTCACCTTCACTTGTGCCAGGTAGTTTAAAAATCAGCCAAAATTTCTCCAGTCACATAAATGTTGTACGTAGAGTAATACAGGGAGACCCACTTCTACCTGTTAAAGGTAAGACATACATACCA